TCTATCTATCTATCTATCTATCTATCTATCTATCTATCTATCTATCTTTCTATCTATCTATCTATCTATTCTAATTAGTTTGTGTGCAGGGGACAGCGCCCTCTAACGGAAGAATAACACCATGTACATCTCAGAAATACGCCCAGACATGTGTGAGGGCCTGTGACGTCACTCCTGAGCGACAGAGCCGCCTGCAGCAGCTCAGGCAGCGGACGAGATTGTTTTTTTAAATCCCGAAAATGGTGAAATCGGGGAAACTTCGGTCCGGGGCGGGCTCGAAGCTGAAACGGTGGAAGAAGGGACACAGCAGCGACTCCAACCCGCAGACCAGTCGTTTCCGGCAGGCTGCTAAAAGCCGCTTCTTCAGCCGACCCACCGGTGAGACTCCCCATTACACGTGGGTCTGTGGCTAGTGGCTAACGTTAGCTAGAGTTAGCCATTTAACTTTTACCAGCACGGGGAATGTGTGTGTGTGCTGCGCCATTCAGTGTGTGTCAGTGAAGCCAGGCAGGACGTCAGTGGAACATCACGTCTTTCTAAAGTCTCCTTCACTTCTGTTAAACATCAAGTCAGACTGTTTTCATTTATTCTCACTGCAGTGTGTTTGTGTTGATACACCTCACTCTGAATCATCACTGCTGTCCAATAAGTAGACAGCAGTAATTTTTAATCACATGGAAACAACAATTGTTTAAAGATTGAATATAATAAAATAGAAAATGAATAAGGTGAACCAAAATGAATGTGGGATAGATTTTGTGTTGTGTTCAATGGTGCATACTGGTCGTTGGCAGAATTTAGTAACTTCAGGGACTTTATGTAAAAATGGGATTCATCGAAAAAGAGCATGTGAAGATAGTTGGGATTTTTATAAATGTAGCTTTGTGAATGAACTATTTGGCTAAAATTAATACGTTAACCCTGAGATCCAATTTTTTGTCCTTAAATATAAAATGTAATACTTGTTACTAGTACCAACACTTTCACAGTGTTTCCCCCACTGTTTCACTGGATGAGCTTGTAGGAAATGTTCACCTTTTCCTCGATCCTGTAGCTTTCTGCATTCAGTCTGATGCTTATCTTTAAAACAACCTTAAATTCAAGTGTCAGTCAGGTTTTTGTTTCTTTTTATTATAAAATCTGATTTAGTAAAACAAAGCCATAACCTCAAAGATCGACTGTGTCCATGGATGAGTGAGCAGCAGCAGCAGTAGTTGCTAGTCCCATGTCTGTCTCTGTTTATCTTTAAATTGAATCTAGGCCAGATTAGAATACAATGAAATCTTTGAACTTCACCCTAAAAGATAAATTTAAAAAGACCTCAACATTGATGAAAACCAAGTTGTCATCGTCTCTTTCTTCCACAGAAAAGAGTGATCTAACAGTCGATGCCCTCAAGCTTCACAATGACCTGCAGACGGGTTCCCTGGAGCTCAATGCAGGCCGCCGCAAGGATGCCTTCATGGAAGAGGAGCAGGATGAGGCGTTTTCAGAAAGGACCTCGGGCACCTTCCTCAGCGGCCTGTCGGACTGCTCCAACCTGACCTTTAGAAAGGTGCAGCGCTTCTGGGAGTCCAACTCGGCGGCTCACAAAGAGGTAAGAATTACAGCAAGGGTACATCATGTCTGTACAGCACCCTATTGATACATATCTCATAAATACATTTATTATATATAATGTAAATTGTGGGATGTGTGTAATGTTTGCAGACTCTAGTTTTGTGTCAAATTGCCTTTTTGCATCAAATTTGTGGGTAGCACTGAAAAGAGAGAATTAAACTTGATGCAACGATATAAACCCCACGAACACATTTTGAATTGCACATACAATCCCTCACAGATTTGTGCAGTATTGGCAGCTGTGACTGAGGTGATCCGTGGTCAAGGAGGGAAAGAGACTGAGACAGAGTACTTTGCTGCTTTGGTGAGTGCTGCCTTTTTCTATATATTCACTAAGATATCAGACAACATGTCCTGTGTTGAAAGGTGATAGTAAGAGGACGTGTGTTATCTGAAGACGAAGCATGTTTGTGTTTTTTCTAGATGACCACCCTGGAGGTTGTGGATTCAGCAGAGTCGCAGGCTGCCGTGGCGTACCTCCTCAACCTCGTCATGAAACGGTTGGATTATATACCTTTTTATTTTTCCAGATAAATAACTGCCAGTGATGTCACAGCTGATCAGATATGTGACTGGTGTATTGTGTTCCTCAGGGTTCCTGCTCCGGTGCTCATTTCCAAATTCTCTGACACCACCAAGGCTCTGATGGATGTCATGACTAAACAGGCCACGTCTGAGACTGCATCGGCTCTCAGATGGGTAAGTGGATTTGTTTCTGCACCAGTGGCTGGTGGATGAGGGTTTTTGGGTTGTCCGTCCATCCCATTCTGTTGAGCATGATACCTTAAGTCTGCTCATGGGAATCCAAATACTGACCAGCTTGATCTCAATGATAAACTAATTAGATTGCAGAGGTCAAAGGTCATGGTGACCTAACATGAGTCTGGAAAAACTGAATGGAGACTGGAGCTGCACTGGTTGGTGGAGGGACACACCCACAGGGAGGTAATTCTAGTTTTCTGTTTGCGTCTATAGATCCTGTCATGCTTGGCCACTTTGTTACGGAAGCAGGATGCGTCCGTGTGGACTTATCCATCCACTCTTCAGGTTTACCACGGCCTGCTCAGCTTCACAGTGCACAGCAAACCCAAGGTCAGTCTCCAGCTCCTTAGAAGTAACGAATGTTCAATTCAATATCGAATGAGATTCTGAAATCGTTCCATTTTCTGCCCACTTTTCCTTTCAGGTTCGTAAATCAGCACAGCAAGGTGTCTGCTCCATCATCAGAGGAAGTGATTTCCTGTTCACAGACAACGCCCCGGCCCATCACCCTGCTGCAGTGACCACAGCCAAGTTCTGCATCAAAGAAATGGAGCAGGCAGGAGGTAGAGCACCACGAGCATTGACACAATTTACTGACACATTCTTTTTGTCTGTGATCAAATGGCAGGTTTTTACTTAATGTCTGTTTTTCTCTTACCCCTCAGGCAGCAAAGAGGACACCACCACACTTCACATGCTGGGTCTTCTGAAGGAGCTGATGGGGACGTTTCCTCAGGGAGCCGTCAAGTCCTGTTGTGAGACTCTGCTGCGAGTGATGACACTGGGTCATGTGGTGAGAACTCAGAAAAACATATATTTGCAGCCAAATGCTCTTTGTTCATCTACACAGTCACACAGACGAGGTTATTTTTTAATTATCCTGCTGTGTTTCTGGCTGCAGCTGGTGACTGCGAGTGCCATGCAGGCCTTCCATAAACTGTTCAGCGGGAAGCCCAACACCTCAACCCTCTCGCCAGAACTCAACGCTCAGATCATCACGGTGAGGAAGTACAACCAAAAAAGAAATGTGCTGAAGTCATCTTTACAAAATGTGGTGTGAGAACTTGTTTTAATCTCATCTCCAGGCTCTGTATGACTATATGCCCAGTGAGAACGACCTGCAGCCTCTGCTCGCCTGGCTCGCCGTCATGGAGAAAGCACACATTCACTTGGCAAGGTAATCAACTCACTACAGCAAAACCCTTACTTGTAATCTTGCTTTTTTTTGTGTGTGTTTTCGACAAACAAGTTAATTCCATTGTGTCAACTGTCTTTGTCCAGCTTGCAGAGTTCTCTGAGTTTCGGTCACCTCCCTCGTCTTTTCTCTGCTGCCATGTCCTGTCTCCTGTCGCCTCACACGCAGGTGGTTTCTGCAGCCACCAACACACTAAAGGTAACAGAATCATCTTCCATTGAGTGTCAGACCTGGTATTAACATCCGTCCTGAGAGATCCAATCACAAGCTGACAGCTCTAAGCTCGCGTGTTCACACTTAAAATGCGTCCTGAATGTGGCCACATGATCAGATCTCACTGAAAAAACTATAGAAATCATTACGTGGTGGTTAGTGATATGTTGGTTGTTGCCTGGAACATATTAACATATGATGCGTTAAAATACTGTAGTAGGTCAGAGGACGTCAGCTGAGTAGGGGTCCTTCACATGTGTCCCAGGATCCATTTCTGTTCACACGTTTGTCCCAGACCACCTCTGATTGTGGTCTGAATGGATCTCAAGCCGCACTGAGGACTCTTTTGGGTGCGTTTACACATGAACTTAGTGCTGATCACTTGT